ATGCAAGAACTTGTACTTGAAAAATTTGTATAATTTGAACTCAGAAAACCAATGGTTCTGAAGTTAATATAGCATTCTCCTCTCAGGCTCAAATCCTAGAAGCAGCCTAGCATAGGACTAAGTATGTGAATTTTAAATTTCTGAAAACAGAGGCTTCTGATCAAGACACTGCAGGATTTTTCTTTACGAGGTATTCTCTAATGCCTTAGCCAATATATTTCTAAACATCCCAAGAGGCTACTTTCTAGGCTTGCACTGTTCAATGACCCAATAACTCAAAAGTGTGTTAGTTGCTCAAGCGATTCTGACTCTTTGCGACCCCGTGGACTGTAGCCTGGCAGGCTCCTCTGCCCATGGGATTTTCCAAGCAAGAATACTGGAGCTGGTATTGCCATTCCCTTCTCCAGGGGATCTTTCCAACTCAGGGACTGAACCCAGGTCTCTTGCATTGCAGACAAATTCTTTACTGTCTGAGCCACTGGGGAAGTCTCAAAGCACAGGGGTAATTCTCTTGAATCTTAGCTTATATTTTTCTTTGGAAATGTCACTGATGTCATACCCCGTGAGCGTGAATTTCATCCTACTACTGCATGACCGGATATCCCAAATGACCTGGGCCACCTTTCAGCTGCAACTCAAGCTTCAGTCTGCCTCCAGGTTCCAAAAGACACGGGCTCCAGGCTCTGCACTTGCAGCCTGGACAACCTTCTGGAGCCAGCACACCCAGAGGGGCTGGGAGCTCCCAGTCAGTGTCCTTCCTCTTCAGAGTGGTATCTCATGTTGCTGCATGGCCTTTATAGACACTCAAGTTCAGTCCAGTTCCGTCGCTCAGTCATGTCTGACTCTTTGCTACCCCATGGACTGCAGCACACAAGGCTTCCCTGTCCTTGACCACCTCCCAAAACCTGCTCAAATCCATGTCCATCAAGTCAGTGATGCCATCCAACCATCTCATCCTGTCACCCCCTTTTCCTCCTGCCTTCAATCTTGCCCAGCATCAGGGTCTTTTCCAATGAGTCAGTTCTTTGCATCAGGTGGCCAAAGTATTGGCACTTTAGCTTCAGCATCAGTCCTTCCAATGAATCTTCAGGACCAATTTCTTTTATGATCGACTGGTTTGATCTCCTTGCAGTCCCTTCTCAAGAGTCTTCTTCACCACAGTTCAAAAGCATTACTTCTTTGGTGCTCAGCTTTCTTTATGGTCCAACTCTCACATCCATACATGACTACTGGAAAAACCACAGCTTTGACTAGATGGACCTTTGTTGGCAAAGTAATGTCTCTGCTTTGTAATATGCTGTCAAGTTTGATCATAGCTTTTTTCCCAAGGAGGAAGTGTCTTTTAATTTCATGGCTGCAGTCACCATCTGCAGTGATTTTGGAGCCCAAGAGAATAAAGTCTGTCACTGTTTCCACTGTGTCCCCATCTATTTGCCATGAAGTGATGGGACCGGATGCCATGATCTTAGTTTTTTGAATGTTGAGTTTTAAGCCAACTTTTTCACTTTCCTCTTTCACTTTTATCAAGAGGTTCCTCAGTTCCTTTCTTCCCTCAAGGTGGTGTCATCTCATTTGGAGACACCCAAGGCCAAGTTCAAATCCCAGCTCTGTTCTCCCTCTTGAGGCAGCCACCTCCTCCTTCTGAGCTCAGTCTCATAGCATGGCCCACGTTGTGGCCAAGGTGCCCCTGATGCCCTGTGCAGACATAAGAGCAGGGTAGGGCATGAAAAGTCTCAAAGCAGAGGCTCTGATTATTCTTGGCATCACTGCTCTCCCCAGGACTATGGGCTGTTGGAAGGGATGTTCAGTATAGATAACCAAAGTTTCCTTCTCTTCTGAGCAGGGGAATCAGCTTTTCGATATGCCAGAAAACACAATTATCCATTCCACGCAATCCCCATGCTGGAGGACACCTTGGAGAGAGTTTAACCTGAGTCTTCATCTGGCAGCCCTGAAAACCACGCAGGTCCCTACAGGACTCGGGACCAAGAGGTCTCCTTGCTGCTTCATTCTCTGAGAAAGTCCAGTGCAAAACTGCTACCCCAACCCTCACACTTGTTAGAAAAAACATCAGCCTGGAACTGGGGATTCTTTCCTGGAGAAGACCACAGTGGGCAGCGGAAAGGAGGAGGGGTATGGACAGGTCTGTTCAGACAAGTCCCCGAGAGTGTGTGGTGGTGCTCTGATGTCATTCCATCCACAGGGCAATGCCACGCCAGAGCAGGAGGAACTTGGTGCTGGAAGGCAGACCGGAACCTGCCTATGGCCAAGAGAAGACAGTAGGCAGACCACTGGGGGAAACCCAGCTTTTACCAAGTGGCAGGTCTAGGATGGACATGAGGGCTGGACCAAACTACTGGCTCAGAGCTGCTCAGGCCAGTCCCACACCCTTTACATTAGGGCCACCACTTCACCCACAGGCCAGGTGTGTTCCATGCATTTTGAATTGCATTTCTTCCCCATCAATTTAGGGGGCCGGGACACGGCTTAGAATTTAAGATCAGGATGGAATTTTGAAAGAGTCATAAAAAATCCATGCTTCTGCCCAAGCCCCATGTTTACACATAAATCGCTCAAAAGTAGAAAAATGGCAGATGGAGTAATCCACAGTCCGATGTTTATGCATAAGAGTAGCTGGTCATCTCTTTCAGCACACTCAGGGTTTGGACTTTGACACCAACCTGTTAAGAACACTGAAAACTGCTGTGTAAATTACACCTGCACAGTCCCGATTCCAAAATTAGTATCTGATTCTATGTAATTATTTCTCTTACTGTCAGTTGTCATTTTAATCCCCTAGTTCTTTTTTTTCCCCTAGTTCTTTTTAAAGGAGTGTTCAATGATTAAAATTGCAAAGCTTAACATACACCTACCTTGAAGGCACTATCTTTGCTAAGCAAGAAGAGTAAAGTAGTTCACTTAATTTAAGCAATTAAAAATTAAGATGATACAATAGAAGATCCAGGAGGGAGAAAAAACACTGTATACTTAGGTGAGTATTAAAACAAAGGCTGTTCCAATTATTAATGCATAAGACATTTTTTATGCAAAAGCATCAAGAATGAGACACCAAATCCAGACATTAATTAGAACATTCTCAAAGGGCAAATATCTCCAAGTTTCTGGAAAGGAACTTGTCATTGGCTTACCTAAGCAATAGGTATAAAACTATAGAAATAAATTGGTATTTGTAGAAAAACTTAAGCACTGAGAAACACTTGGATAAACTGTAGACACAGAGGATAAAACTCCAGTTAGTATAAGCATCCACACACTGCATCATCTCAGGAAAAGGAGAATCTCAGAAAAAAAGAGCTCCAGAAACAACATCTACAGGAATTTCTCAGCAACCACTTCACTGTTTAATCTCACAGGCTGGCCACAAATCCTTCCCCAGACTCAACTGACATGTTCACCCATGAGTAAACCTTTCCCTCTTAATTATCCTCATCAGAGACTGAGCACCGCTGCCTGCTCTTCTCTACATAATAAATCCATTCACATATTTTCAGATGTGAAGTTATCTCAGCTTTGAATCCTCCAGTCTAAATGCCCAATTCTTTCTCTTTACTTCCCAGATCACAGTTACCACTTACTACACTCACCAAATGCTGCTTTGTGCTTTGAGCTCTCTCCCACCTTCTGCCCTTCTTGTCTGAACTGTGGGGCTCATCACCCCACTAAGAGCTGAGACTTATTACATAGTCTCTACAGAGATTTAGTAAAAAACTCCAGAAGCTGCACCTGCACCAAGCAGAAAGGAATACCACAGTTTACCTCACTCACAACAAAAATTTTATCAAGAATTCCAACATGTTTGAGTGACTTTTCTTAAACTCAGCTGTAAAATTCAAGGCAATTCTTCCATTAGTTTCCAGCACTCCCCACTCCCTACTGCCAACAGTTTTCCTGATGCATTAGTGGGAAATGCGAGCCTTCAAGGGTTGGAAAAATTTTGGTTGCCAGTTTCAGAAAAATAGCGGGTAAAAATAAGCTCAAGGCCACACATCATTTCTCCTTTTAAAAGAAAACGTCAACCCCAAGTTTGCAACATCAGCATTTCAATTTATGCAACCCACGGGTCATGAATTTTATTTCCATATGGCAAAGTATGTCGACCAAAATTTCAAAAAAAAAAGTAACTATCGAGTAACCCGCCCTAGGCTTTAAAATGTGCAGAAAGTACTTAAAATGCTTTTCGAGTCCCCCAGCAATGTCCTCACCAAGCAGACAGCCGACCGAGGTGGGGATCAGCTGGCCCCTTCCCGGTCAGAACGCCAACCGCACACAAAGCAAAGATTCCGACCAAATATGGTTTGCCTCTCCTCAATTTTTCAGCCTGATCACTAAAAATACGTTCAAAACCAATCCAGCCAAGCACTGCTCTTCTCCCAAAGTGCTTCTCGGATTATAAAACAGCTTTGAAAGTTCAGCCTGAGAAAACAAACACGGTACCAGGGGGAGAGACCTGGAAGGCGTTCGAAAAAAGTCTCATTTAAATTCCTGGAAAGCACGGCTTCTGAAACAGCTATTCGAATCGCTCTGGAAGGAGGCAGCAGCCGCTTCGCTCCAGCCAGGAGTTTCACTCCGCTCCACCCCCCTGCATCGCGAAATCCGAATGAGATGGACGATGCCTTCCGTACCCACGAATGCCACAAATCTCCTTTCGGTACACGGTGGAAAGTGGGACAACTCCGAAGCCGCCCTCCTCGCGCCAGTCCGCAAGAACGAACAGCCCACTGCTCAGGATTCACAAGATCCTTCTGCCCCAAACGTTTCAGCTACAGAAAACTAGAGATCAGGCTTTAAGAAACGCAGTTGTGCCTGCGGGTGGAGTCGAGAAGACAATTAAAGACCTCGAGCCCCTTCCAGAGTCAAAGTTAAAGATCAGGGTCAGAGTAATCGGGGCACGCTGTGTCCTCCTATCTCCAGAGCGCAAGCCTTCCGGTGGGCTCACCTCTCGAGGAATTTCCTGCTTCTCCCCCCAAAACTGTCTTTAGCGTTCCCCCACACCCCACCACAGGTCTGGGAGCGGGTCGCCGAGTCTAACTCGGTGCCGAGGTGCACCCGGGCTTCGGCGACTCAGCGGCAGCCGCCTGACACCGCCCGACCCCGAGCCCTCGGTCGCCCACCTTCTCCGTACTCCGCGCCTCCCGGCGCCCGACCCCGCGGCGTGGAGTCGGGGACGAGCAAGTCACATCTTCTTCTCCCGCGGCTGCTCGGGCGCGCGCCAAGCGCTCCAACAATCGCACCGACTGGAGCCGAGAGCCGGGGCCCGGGCGCCAGACGCGCGCGCGGCTCAGCGGCTCCCGCAGCGGCCGCCCGCCTCCGCCGAGCAGCCTCCCGGCGCCGCCCCAGAGACCCGGCGGCCTGCGCTCGCGTCCCGGGCGACCGGCGGGGTCTCCTCCGGTCCTGATCGCTCGGTGCTGGGCGGCGAAAGCGAGCACGGGGGGCTCGGCCTCCCGGCCGGCGCGGTGTTCCGCTCAGCCCGCGCCGCGCGCCTCATTGTTCCAGGCGGCGGCTCCCTGCTCCCAGCCCCCGTGCAGAGCCTGCGCCGCGCCCCGCCCCGCGCTCCCCAGCGCCCACCCCTTGCCCCCCGCCCCTCCGCCTCGGCGGCTTCCTCCAGCCTCCCCTCGCTGCCGGGCTCACCTAGCGGGCGGCAGCTGGCCTCGGCAAGTTCCGCGACCACTCCCCACTGCCTGGCCCCGCTGCCTAGAGGCGGTGGCGCAAGGGGTACAAGGTGGGCGCTCCCCGGCTGCGAGCCGTGCCCCGCTGGTGGCACAGAGTGATCGTAGACTGGGGTGTCTCGGCGGCCTGTAAAGGCACGCCTGTCCCCGCCGCCGCTGCCAGCCAGCCCCGGTCCTCCGAGGGTCACCTGCACGGGCTCCGCCCGGCACCGCGCGCCGCAGCCGCGGGCACTCGGGCCTGGCCGACGGCGGGGATGCACGGACTAGGTCCTGCTGTGAGCTGCGGGGCCAGGGTCAGGGCGCCTGGCTCCGCGGAAGTGAGTCTTTGTGCGCCCCGCTCCGACACACCCTCTCGCGGCGCCAAAGGCCGGGCTACCTGCACGCGAGGCAGCGCCCCGGAGCGGGCCGGGTGGGGAGCAGGGGAGCGAGCGCAGCATCCTCCCGGCCAGCGGCTCCCTTTGTTCCACCCGCTCGGCGGCTCCGCGCCGCTGCTCGGCCCTCGCTCCCGGGAGCTCCTCGGAGGCGCTAAGGGTCGGGGTTGCAGCGGGAGTAGCCACCTGCCCCTGGGAATTCCCTAATGCACAGTCTGCCCGGCCATCCTCACCGGGCCGGCAAAGTTCTCCGGACCGCGGCCCCCAGGCTGCTGGCCCGGCGCGCGGAAAACCGGCGCCGGAGCCGGGGGTGGGGCGGCAGATCGGATGTCCCTCTGCCAGCCTGCGGAATGTCCATTTGTCGCCGCGGCCCTCGTCCCTTCTGAGGGGACCGCAGCTGGTCCCTGGGACCAAGACCACGACGCGCTTTGTTTGCTGGTAAACACGCGCCTTTGAACTTCAACGCGCTCCCCGCGTGCGCGACGGAGGCGGTAGGCAGCTCCCCACCCTGTAGTCCTCCGGCGGCCCCAGAGGGCTGTTGGGATGGAGTTGGGGGATCCACCAGGTAGTGGCCGTCTCAGAGGGACAGGTTACCTCCCCCCAACCCCGCCGCCCTCCATCCTGGGTCCCAGTAGGAGCTGACAGTTTGGAGACACAAATCCTTCACTAAATACACTATTTTAAAATTCGTATGTACATTCATTGACCTAATTCAGGGTTTTTAGAAGAAAACAATGAGCTGGATATCCAATCCATTCAGTATTTACTGCTGTGTTCCGGGATTCCGGGCTGGAGAAGGGGCAGTAGACAAGAGAAGCTGAGTAGCACTTCTTTCCTGTCTTCAGGGAGTTTGCGGAAATTTAAACCTTCACCAGGTGTCAACTAAAACTGACTGGGCAAGGCGCGCTGCCCTCCATCAACAGTGGGCCAAAAACGCTCCCCCTGTGTTTCCCCAGTTGTGGTGATGTTCTGTCACCTGGAGTTGGGAGGACTTGCAGTGAGGGATCGTGTGTCACATGGGTTTAGAGAAGAGTGTTTGATGAATGTGAAACACTGACAATATGGCTACAAGAAAGTGACGTGATAGGGTCCTGGGCCTGGTGGGGATGGGAGTAATGCAGAAAAATCCACCCCTTGTTCTCCGACAGAGGGGTTCCCAACCTCCGAGTTCGCGTGCCCGAGTATCTGAGGTGGAGCTGGTGTAAAGCAGTAGAAATAAAGTGCCCAATAAATGTAACATGCTTGAATAACCATGAGCCATCCCCCTCTCCAATCCGTGGGAAAATTGCCTTTCAGGAAACCAGGAAACTAGTTCCTGGTGCCAGAAAGATGGGGGACCACTGCCCCGAGAGACGCTGGCAGGTCCCAGACTCTATGGGCCTTGATTTTCTCTTCTGCATAATGCGCTGAAGGGTACCTACCTTTCCGGTTTATCGTTAAGAGTAGAGCTCAGGGACTTCCCTGGTGGCGCGGTGGATAACAATCTGCCTGCCAGTGCAGGGGACACGGGTTTGATCCCTGGTCAGGGAAGACCTCACTTGCCACAGGGCAACTAAGTGAGCAGAAACTACCACCCCACGTGTGAAACTAAAACTACTGAAGCCTGCCAGTCCTAGAGCCAGGAAGTTGCAGTTACTGAAGTCCACCTACCCTGGAGCCTGTGCTCTGCAGCAAGAAAAGCCACTTCAGTGAGAAGCCTGCACACCCCAACTAGAGAGTAGCCCCCACTCCCACAACTAGAGAAAGCCCACATGCAGCAACCAAGACACAGTGCAGCCAAAATAAATAAATCAAAGAGTAGAGATCAGATATTGAAATGTCTCCCTAGTGCCTGAAATGGTATATCTAATAATTGTAGTAATTAATATATAATAGTAGCCATTATTAAAATCCCTTAACCATGAAATAGAAAATAATTTATATACTTTTCCTATAGTGTATACATATTTAAATGCTGCAGAAGTTAGTGCCTTGATTACCCTAAGGAAATTTTAATGAGAAGTTAAATAAGAGTAGCCAAATAACAATTAACTTTATGCTTGTAGAAAAATTACCACCTGCAGGCAAATATGCAAATCATTGTAAAATTTTAAGTGAATTTATTATTTATGGTTGGGTTAATCAATGAAGTGGGGCTAAATTGACTTAATTATTGCTTCCTAAGGAAATCAGAAAGCTAGTTGATAGACATAAAGCTATCAACTGATGATCGTTTCTGTCCAAGTGTATGGTAAATAAAATATTTTGACATCCTTTAATTGCTAAGAGGCATCTCAAGTAGAAACAGATTATTTAGTTTTTTTTTATTAGTCTACAGATTTGTGAAAAATTCACTGGCTCTTCTGGCATTTTAATATTCTATTCCTTAAAAAAATAAACCAGAATAAATTTATTCTTAAGCATCAGAAACCCATTTGGCATTACGCATTTCCTCCTAATAAGATGAATGTCCTTTTCTGTTTTTAAACTCAGGGTCCCACTATTCCTTTTCTTATCCAGTGTTGTCAAATGACGGATGTGTTCACAGGAAACAGTCCTTCCCTCTTTTGAAATTTGTCCTTGATTAGCAGTCAAATCCAGAAGTTCTGTGAACTCCCATCTGAGGAGTATCTGGGTTTGGGTAGGAAATGGGTAAATATTTTCTAACTGTATCATTGTTGAATCTGGAGGACTTGTTTCCACTTAACTACTGTTCGTAGAAAAAATTGCTCTTCTATTATTATGCCATTCATTCTCACAATAAACCCACAGATTATTTGACAGATGTGGAAACTGAGGCTGACAGATTTTTTTTTTTTTTTCCTAGGATCATTTTCTTTAAGCATTATGTCTTCGGTTCTGAGATTGTCACTCTGTAAGTGAAATTAGTACCTCAGGGAGGAAAATAACTTAGAGACGTGTTCTTCATACTCAATCAGTGAGACAAATGTGTATGTGGGCCATGCCAAAATGAGCTTTGGATACTCACTTGTTTGGAGTCCATTAAGTAGTGCTAGGTCTTCCCAGATGGCTCAGTGATAAAGAACTCTCCTGCCAATGCAGAAGACGTGGGTTCCATCCCTGGATTGGGAAGATCCCCTGGAGAAGAAAATGGCTTCCCACTCCAGTATTCTTGCCTGGAGAATCCCTTGGATAGAGGAGCCTGACAGGCTATAGTCTATGGGGTCACAGAGTCAACGACTGAGTGACTATGCAAACACTTAGCAAGCATGCAAACCGTGCTAGGATCAGGAACAAACATGCTTTTCCTAGCCAACCTATTTTTTTTCTTCTAATTGTCATTTAGTCTTAGAAATACTAATAGGAAGATGACCACTATTAAGAAGGAGCAGGCTCAGGATTTTGGATGGATATTGTGGTTAGAATCCCAGACATGCAGAAGCTAACATCAGTGACCCTTCCATATTTTCAGATGTGGAGAACAAGATCTTTATTTTCATCAGATGTGGGCTTCCCTAGTGGCGCGGGTGGTAAAGAATTGACCTGCAATGCAGGAGACCTGGGTTCAATCCCTGGGTTGGAAAGATCCCTTGGAGAAGGAAATGGCAACCCATTCAGTATTCTCGCCTAGAAAATCCCATGGGCAGAGGAGCCTGACAGACTACAGCCTATGGGGTCATAAAGAGCTGGACACAACTGAATGACTAACACTTCACTTCAGTAGATAAGAAGCCTGTACCGGAAGACACTGAGGCATAACTGTCTCTTGCCACAATTCAGCTTGCATCTCCGTATCCTGGAGCTCCAACAGGAAATGGAGCAGCCTCGGGGAGGGTCAGGGGGTCACAACTACACCTGCAGAACTGACCTAGGTGAAAACAAATCAGGCTGTGAAAGAAGTTTCCCTTTTGGAAACTTTTCCATATAATCTACGACATAAGTTTAAAAGGACAGGACTCAGAGCCCAGGGCTTGAGCCCCCTGCATCGTACAGCAAATTCCCACTGGCCATCTATTTTACACATGCTAATGTATATGTTTCTAGGCTATTCTTTCTATTCATCCCACCCTCTCCTTCCCTTCGCCCACAACCCCTTGTCCACAAGTCTGTTCTCTTTGTCTGCCTCTCCTTGCAGATGGGTTTGTCAGTACTATCTTTCTAGATTCCATATATATGCATTAATATATGATATTTGCTTTTCTCTTTCTGCCTTACTTCACTGTTTGTAACAGGCTGTAGGTCCATCCACCTTATTAGAACTAACTCAGATGTGACAACTTAGAGTGGGATGGGGTGGGAAGTGGGAGGGAGGTGCAGGAGGGAGGGGACGTATGTGTACCTATGGTTTATTCATGCTGATGTATGGCAGAAACCAACACAACATTGTAAAACAATTATTCTTCAATTAAAAATAAATTTTAAAAAAATTTTTTAAAAAAAGGACAAGACTCATCAGGGAGATCTGGGTTTTCTACCAACCCTGTCACCTTCGTGAAGCTGTTTGAACCTTCTGAGCCTCCATGACTTGGTCAGTGATGCAAACTAAACCCGCTTCACAAATACCTGCAGGAGGGGGAGCTCACTGCACAAGCTCACAGACATCCACAAGTGCACCGCACTTCAAAGTTTCTGTAAAGGCTTCTCTCCCCTCAACTCTGAAATAAGAGGTGAAGAAGTAGGGGATTAATAAGGCCATCTAGAGATGGCCCTGTTACTTCTAAACTGGGGAACCATAATCATTGCTAACACTGATGTTTTAAGGCCTACATACTAAGCCCTTTATAAATATTGACTCATTTAATATTAATAACAAGGATTTTGGAATAATTTCAAACTTAAAGAAAAATTAGGGAACTAATACCTTCCCCCAGATTCCCCAGACTCTGGTGCTTGACTGGGGTTGTCACATCCCCCATTACTTCTATCTTTTTTGTCCTGAAATGTTTTATCCCGAGAGCAAGTTGCATCCATGGTGTTCTTCCCGCCCCCGCAAATGCAGGTACTTTAAAGGGGCTTTAAGCCACTTTGCTTTTAGAAAAAAACACAAGTACCTGTCTTTGCAAACGGAAAGAAATCCTAGGAGGATTTTTCACTTTTATGAAAAAGGGCAAAAAGTGAAAGTTGGGTCTGGCATGTGTTTTGCACGAACGGCCTCCCCAGGCTCCTTCCTGGAACCATGCTGAGCATCTCAGCATCTGGCCCCCAGGGCTGTGCACCCTGTTTGGGAACATCTGTGTGCTTCTTCTCCATTTATTTTGAGACTGCTA